AGAGTACCCTTACAATGAAGAAGCAGGAAGTGAAAGACAGCACCAAGAGCAGCACTATGTCTTATCCATGTGTACAATACATGATATTTGGCAAGATTTAGGACATTGTCAAGTATTAAGATAACAACAACCCCTTCCAGAAACCCATTGTAAGGAGTAATCTACATCTGGCATTGGTAGTGAGGAGAAGTCTTGTATGGGTATATATTGTTTTCCAGATGACGGTTTAGGTAATTTGCAACCTCTTACACAAACAACCTAAAATCATCACATTTGCTGTTTTCTTTCAGAGTAAGTAATACAATGCAATATTGAAATATTTGTTTTGGTTAATTCTCACTCTTCTGATGATCAATTTCCCATAAACTTGACACTTAAAAAAACAACACACTCAACTGATCAGCTTATCACAGATTTTTATTGTTGATAATTAGCATTTGTACAAATTTCAAAAACATTGGACAAGATTTGACAAAATTATTAACGTTTAACTATTTTAAGTCATTGAATTTGCCAGTCATTTCAATGCAATTTTCAGTTTTCAGAAATATATTGTCCTTAAAAACACTATTCATTAAACAAAGTCATTTGATCAGCTTATCACAGACCTAAATTGTTGTTAAGCCTCATTTGTTTAAATTTCAAAAATATTGAACAAGATTTGACAAAATTATTAATCTTTAACTATTTTAAGGCCTGTGATTTGCCATTCTTTTCAATGAAATTTTCAGTTTTCCGAAATATATTGTCCTTAAAAACACTTTTTATTAAACATAGTCAACTGATCAGCTTATCACTGATTTTTATTGTTGTTAAGCATTATTTGTACAAATTTCAGAAATATTGGACCAAATTTTATCAAAATTTTTAATGTTTAACTATTTTAAATCATTGAATTTGCCAGTCTTTTCAATGTAATTTTCAGTTTTCCTAAATATATTGTCCCTAAAAATGCTTTTCATTAGCTACAGTCAACTGATCAGCTTATCACGGATTTTTATTGTTGTTAAGTATCATTTGTAGAAATTTTAGTAATATTGGCCAAAATTTGACAAAATAATTAATGTTTAACTATTTTAAGGCCTGTGATTTGCCAGTCTTTTCAATGTAATTTTCAGTTTTCCCAAATATATTGTCCTTAAAAACAATTTTCATTAGATACAGTCAACTGATCAGCTTATCACACATTTTTATTGATTGTTAATTATCATTTGTACAAATTTCATAAACATTGGACAAGATTTGACAAAATTATTAACGTTTAACTATTTTAAGTCATTGAATTTGCCAGTCTGTTCAATGTAATTTTCAGTTCTTTCAGTTATATTGTTCTTTTGAAATATTTGTTTTGGTCAATTCTCACTCTTCTGATTATCAATTTCCAATAAACTTGACACTTAAAAAAAGACACAGACAACTGATCAGCTTATCACAGATTTTACGTGTTGTTAAGAATCATTTGTAATCGAATTTATTAACATTGGACTATTTTAAGCCAAGGTATTTGCCAGTGTTTTCAGTGTAATTTTTAGTTTTCTCAAATATATTGTCCAAAGAAGATACTTTTCATTAGACACAGTCAACTGATCAGCTTATCACAGATTTTTATATTTGTTAAGCATCATTTGTACACATTTCAGAAACATTTGGCAGGATTTGTCAAAATTATTAATATCTAACTTTTTAAAGCTATGGTATTTGCCAGTGTTTTCAGTGTAATTTTCAGTTTTCTCAAATATGTTGTCTGGAAAAATACTATTCATTAGACACGGTCAGCTGATCAGCTAATCTTAGATTATGTAAGTTATTCAGCTTAATTTGTACAAATTTTAGAAAAATTGGACTAGATTTGATTAAATTTTTTAACATTTAACTATTTTAATTCATTGAATTTGCCAGTCTTTTCCATGTAATTTTCAGATTTTACCTCTGCCAAGGAGGTTATGTTTTCATCCCTGTTTGTTTGTAAGTCTGTCTGTCATCAACATACTCAAAAAGTTGTGGACCGATTTTGATGAAATTTGTCAAACTGTCAGATGTGGGCCAAGGAACAGATGATTAGTTTTTGGTGGTGAACCGGATCAATAATCAATCAATAATCAAAAATATCGAAAATTTAGGGGTGAAACGGCATTGGATGGAGACTTTGCTGCCTTGGTGGAGGTCTGTGCTCTCTGAGTGCTTTTCTAATTTCAGTTATATAGTTCTTTTTTCCAGCGAACCCTTACCATAAAAAAGCAGGCAGGAATTTTTCAGCGTGGCATTCGGTTTTGCTTTGTGTGTGTGAACAAGCAAGCAAAGTGAATTTTTTACCGAAAATTTGAATTTGAAATACCCCGATTTTTCAGATGGCAGTGTGAAAGGGGTACTAGTCTTCTCTACTTTATCAGATACTCTGATTCTAGGCATATCTAAGCAAAGAAGTTTGAATTCGTCATTCATTATAATTATTATTTTTAATATTCTTTGGACAAGGTTATTTTCAAGAATGATTTATTCCTCTCATATTGTTTTTTTAACTTTATAAAGATAAACGGGATTATGACCCAATAGGTTTTAAATAAGAACTTAAACATTTCATGAAATAGATAATGTTAATAATAGTAAAATATTTAATGGCCTGATAAAAAGTCAGTGACTGCACACTCCTGTTTGATATAACTAATTGATGTATATATTACGAATTTAAAATATGTATGATATGCTAGGCATTTTATTCCAGATATATTTACTGGACAGACTGGGGTCATATCCCTTACATTGCTTGTGTTGGAATGGACGTCACCAACCGGTCATCTGTGATCACAGAGAAACTGGGCTGGCCTAATTTCTTGACCTTTATGTCACCAGGAAGATGTGGGGGCTGATGCACATCTGGATTACATGGAGTAAATGTCAGCTTCTAGTTATTGATTTTCTAGGAAAATGTGATGGAATACTCCCATATATTTTACGATTGGAAAAATGTGGGGTTTTTTATAAAATGTATTATATTTATTACATCTTCAGTTGACAAATGTAACCAAATTTGGTATGTGGTATTGTCACAGGTTATTACAGCCAAGCAGGTCTGGAGGTTGTAAAGTTGATTTTCTTACAGAGACATATTATAAACAGTTCAATGCAGGTTCTGTAGTTTTTCTTGTTCCATTTTATATATGCAAAATGACATGAAATCTAATAGATACATACATTACATTTCAGGTATGCCAACCTTGATAACAGCAACAGACAGTGGGTCATATCAGGAGTCAGAACATCTGAAAAATATAACTCTTACAAAGGCCATTGAGCGTAATGTGTCTCCAACTCCTGATTGGAAGCCATACAATGTCGAAGTCCAGAGACAACTAGGTCAGTTCTTAAAAATTGTAAAGTTTGTGAGTGAACTAAATGTTCATTTGTAGTGGCTTTATATGGTACCATTGATTTGAGTTTTGTAAAATATTGTAAAATTGTAGGGCTCAGTTTCATCAAGGCTGGATAGCGCTAACCTATGGATAAATATGGCCGCTATCCTCTGGATAGTGCTATCCATAGAATAGTGCATTTCATCAACAGTGGATAGCGTTATTCAGGGAATAAATCGGCTTATCCAGAGGATAAAGTTGTCCACTCAAAATAGGTGGGATAAATCTGGCATCATGCTGTTAAATCATCCAAAATGGTAAACCTGCTTGGTTTGGCAGTAAAACCTTTGAGATTTCACAGACGTAGAATGAGTAGAGAGAAAACTTTATACTGGTTGCTATAAACATAAAAGCCATGATAGTTGCTAACAACAGCAGTGGTCTATACCATATTTGGGTAATAAATTACCCACAATACCCCTGTGTTCTGGTGCCATCTGTCGTCTGCTTTTCTATCTTGCAGGATGGAACCTGCTTCAGCAAGCAATAGGCAGAGAAAGGCAAACTGGACATTAGCAGAAACATCACTTTTGATAGAATTATGCAAGAAACATCATGCAGTGATTAGGAACAAACACACTTCCACCTTGGACAACAAGGCCAAGGTGGAAGTGTGGAAAGCCATTGCCACTGAAGTATCATCCGTTGCAGTTTCAATGAGAAGTGCAGCAGAGTGCTGTTAAGAAGTCTCACAGGGAACTTAAGAAGTCCAGACACCTAACTGGAGGTGGTCCACCACCACAGGGACTCAGTCCAACCAAAAACAGAATAGTGAACATATATGCTGAAACTCTAGCCTTTGAAGGTTTGAAAGGTGGGATGGAGACTAGTGGTAAGATCAGGTTGCCACTGTTTGACTCTTTATAAATTTAATACACTTTATTGTTGTTACAGACATCACCCTTTGAAATATCAAAGTTACTCTGATGAGGAAGCAGCATCTGGTTCAGAAAGGTTAGTTTCCCCCATTTATTCATGTACCTTGTATGTAAAGATTTTGTGCACATTGTTTAATCTGTTATGAATCAAACATTTTGAGTCAAATGTCAATAGAAAAGGATCTTTAATTTATTATAAAAATCCAAAGAATTAGGTCCAAGATTACTTCTGTACTGATACTTAAATTTTGGTTGGGTAGCTAAATAGTATACAATGTCTTGAAATCATGCAGTGGTGAAAGCAGCCCTAAAGTTAATGGTTGGTCACAGGGAAGAAGGCAAAAGCGGTTGAGTTATCCAAACTTCCAGAATTATCTCCTGCAAGGTACTTGTGGATTACAAAAATATTTCAAATTCAACGATATCTTACTTGTAATATTCCAGTAAGAACTAATTATAAGTTATTGCTGAATATGCCAAAATTGTCATTTTTTTATGATATTTGTACATGAAAAATAAGGACAGTCATTATTTATGTTTAGATTGACTCTGGAGAATGAGGAGGTGCTCACTCTGTGTCTGTACATTTTCCTAGTGAACAGGCCAAGGTACGCAGAACACAGAATGACTTCATGCCATCGCCAGATTCCCAAGAGTGCTGGGGAGGGCAGTATGATTGCCATTAAATCCCCTATGGCCAATGTTGAAAACTCCTATGTCTGTCGTGAAGGTTTTCATGCCATTAATGTGCAGGCGATTTCCAATGCCCAGCTTATGTAAATACATGTTTTTGTTTTATTATTTATTTCTTACATTAAAGGTCAATATATGTAACAGCTCTCAATATACTTTATTTACGAACCCGAGTGTACTCTGTGTGTGAACATGGCAGAAACAAGAAACGAATGTCTTTTAATAATTTACAAATAAATAAAATGAACTTAATGCAGAACTGAACAAACTTAGAAAAATTTAAATGAATAACATTAATGAACTAAAATACTTACTAAATTTCTAAACTAAATAAGGATGAAAATAAATGATAAGCACTTAAATGATCAAACTAAACTTAGAGAAATACAAAATCTAAACACAAAGAAAATGAAAAGTAAACCGATCAAGTCTATCATACCTGTGTGTGAACATGGCAGAAACAAGAAACGAATGTGCCGCGAAACAAAGAGGGGCGTGTTTTATATAGAAACGAAGACACACGGACACAAACGATAAGTCACGAACACACTTCTCTACAACCACAATCATACATCATACATACACATGTTATATATATATATATATATATATATATATATATATATATATATATATATATATATATATATATATATATATATATATATATATCTGTCATGATATCGTCAAGATGTAAACACACCTAATTGAGTCATGTATAGCAATCACAACTACTGCAATTTTGTGTTGGTTGTTGGTTGCTGTGAATAAAAAAAAATGATTTTGCAGTTCTGTAAAAAAAGTCTTCATCATTGAAAGAAGAAATCATTCAAATGCAATTCATAATTTTATTAGTACTAGAAATATTTTTTTTAGAAATAATAGCCCTAGTACATCCTCCAAGTGCAGGGACATGAAAATTTAATTCTCATTCAGAGATAATTGTTTCATTTTTGAAAAACATTTTTCATTTTGAAAATACAGAAAACTAAAAAATCACTCTGAGAGTGCAGACCTCCCCCAAGGCAGCAATTTTTGATTATTATTGATTATTGATTCATTATTGATCTGGATCACCACCAAAAACTTATCAAGTTCTAAGTTAACCCATTTCTGGCCTACCCTGAAAATTTCATCAAAATCGATCCATAACTGAGTTATGTTGATGATTGATTTTTGACTATTGATTATTGATTGGTTATTGATCCAGATCACCACCAAAAACTAATCATCTCTTTCTTGGCCCACTTCTGACAGTTCCTGAAAATTACATCAAAATCGGTCCATAACTTTTTGAGTTATGTTGATGACAAACAAACAAACAAACAAACAGGGGTGAAAACATAACCTCCTTGGCTGAGGTAATTATGACTTAAGTATGTAACTATGCTATTGTAAAATATTAATTCATTTTAATTGGGTTTTATTTAATTTTTTTTTCCAGATTTACTGATGTAGTCTGCAGGTGGCCAGGCAGTACCCATGACAGTTTCAATTTCAACAACAACAATGGTATTGGCCAACATTTTGAAAGTATGAACACATAGGATATTCCAGGATTCCTCTTGGAGGGATTCTGGCTATCCTCTGCACCCATATCTGATGACACCAAAAACAAACCCTCTGACAGAGCCGGCCATTACATACAACAGGGCTCATATCTCAACGTGAAACACCATGTGTGTAATTTTCTCTTTTGAGACATGATACAGTTACTACTTTTCTTACTACTTTCTCTTTCTTGAGAAATGATACACAATGCATTGATTTGATTAATTTAGTAGGATTTTTTAGCTTTTACCCAGTAATAATAAAAACATTCTTTCATTATTTTTTTTACTGTTAAAACAACAATATTTTTGTTCTAAAATACAGCATGACAGCTGTACTAGGTCAAAATTTTTGGGAGCTTTTACATAATAAATTCAATTTAATTTTCTTTTGTATTTTTTAGCCGAGGAGACAGTAAAACCCACACCAAGTCAGACATGTCCTTGCAAGAATGATGGCAAACGTAAGCCAGATCCAGAAACTGGTGGGCTGGTGTGTTTGAATAGTAAGTATCTGGGTTAGAATAACTATGACAAAATATTGAAAATGTTGTTGTAATTGAGATGAAAATGTGATTTGTGTCAATAATCACAAAGCACAGCAAACACATGAAGACTTTAATAGGAAGAGGAAATATAGTTGGTGCCAAGCTGATGATTTAACAAATGAAAAATACATGTACATTCGTGGAGTTTGTGGAGTTGAGGAAAACCAGGGTTTGCTGTTGTATACTGGCTGTTTATCTTGTGAAATCTACCATAGTTTATGAATTGGTTTTAAAGAAAAATGCAGCATGGCTGAAATGGCAGAGTGATGTTTTTTGTTTTTATTTTATTTAAAGTCATTAATTTTTGTCACTCTTTATTTGAATAAATTTGATCATATTTCAGACTATTATGGAGAATACTGTGAAAAGGAGCCTTCAGCATTCACTGGAGCTGATGCAAGTTCATGTAAGTTGATAGTAGACCACAGAATATTTTGCAAGATCCTTTTTGAGGTTAAATTTTATTTTGTTGATCATATCTGGTAATCATATCATATCTCAAGTAATGAAGCAATTAAAAGTAACACCAAAATTCATCAAAGGGTTACTTGGATGTGGGAGATGGTTTGTTTGCCCCACTTTACCCAGAGATATACTCTGGTTAGATTTTTAGTTAAATTTTCTGTACTTCTATTTCTGAAATTTTCTCTACTTGTACTCAATGAATATGATTTGATTAATAAAATTAATATTTGCTATCCCCAAGTTGTATCATCACACTAAGAAATATTCATACAACTTTTTATTCTGTACTTAATATTTGTATATATTAAATATATATTCTTCAGAGGGGGGGGATAGTCCTGATACCGCCCACATCTTAATCTATAATGATGTCAAACTATTCCCTGCATATTGAAATAGTTGTTGCAATGATTTCAGTATGAGCAAGGCCCTACATTCCAGTGGCTGGGGGTGAGTTCAGACTGGGGCACCTGCAGGACCGGTGGCTTTCCATGGAGGAAATGTTGTGGCCATCAGTATGTCAGACTTTGTATATGACAGATCAGTAAAAGATTTGAGGGTTCAAAAGGCAAAAGACAGAAGATCTAGAACTTAAAAGTATTCAGTATTTTGCATGTATAGTAGAAAAGCATATCTATAGTTTCATCTTTTCTTTTTTGGTCAAATTGCCTATAAAAACATTTTGTATTAATGCTTCATTAACTGAACATTTTCTTTTTATTCGTTGCTTTAAAGTGCTCATCTTCTTTCTCATAGGATGCAATGGAACCAGAGTACAACAAAACAGAGAATTTTGAAGACTACAAAAACCAAAAACAACTTCTCCAACCCAATGTATGACAGCATAACAGGATTAGAACCTGCTAAATCCCCCAAAAAAGGACATGACCAGCTCCACTCACTCCAATGGGGTAGCAGATAACCAGTTATCAGAGATCACAGTCCATATACCACATAAACAACTCTGTCCTTCAGTAACAGAAAACAATTACGACACTAATGTTTTAGTCACTAAAGATTTTTTTAACATAAAATTCTTGATGATCATTTCACAGATGAGGCAAAGCTCAGGAGGGAATATATCTCACACAAAGCAGATGAGATGTTGGTATTTATGATGAAACTTTATTATGAAGTGATATATCAAACCCATACAAAATATTTGTTCTTGCTTCCGGCTCTCATGAAGAATTGGATTTTAAGCTGTTTTTTTATATATAACTTTTTTCCTCAGATTCAATTCTTAGCCATGTTAAAAGTCTATTGAACAAATTACATACCTAAACATGTTCTTTTGACATTTTCTGCATCTTAACAATTTTATAGAATAATTATATAAAATGGTGATAAATGTGTTCTCTTGTATTGTGAAATAGAGTCAAAAATGGAAATAAAATTATGTCAGTACAGTTTGTCAGATTCAATCCTTCACTGTGTTCAGAATCTCAGAATAGAGCAAATTGGATATTTGAAATTGTTTTATTAAAGTATTTTTCCTTTGTTTGAATAGAAGCTATCTATACTGTAATGCCGTACTTGAGATTTTGATCATTCTTTTACTGTTAGTGCATTGTTGTTTATGTATGAAGATATATTAGTTTTGATTTTTAAACACTTGTAAAAGAGTATTTTTTGGTTTTGAGTACATGCATGCCAATATTATGTATGTTCTTCATCATTTCACTTTAATAAAGGATGATTTGGTCAAAAGACGTGTATGTTCAATTCTTGTTGGTTAGAATATGCACCTTCGAGCGACCATGTAGACTCTGAGACGGATGCCACGATTTAAAAGACCATTCTCAATCCCTATCGTCCTAACTGCACCCTGAGCTTCAGAGATAACTTGACACTAACCTCTTCACTATAGCCTATCTTCATCGTGTCAAGTTACCTCTGACCACATTCGATTGCCTCCGCCGCCCGCCAATCAAATTTAAAGCCCGCACTCAATGACTCATTGAACGATCTAGCCAATGAACGCGAACGAGTCAAAGCGCGCTTTGTTCAAATCCGGACCAATCAAAGATAAGGCTGAATATCAGGGACTTGCCGTAACCTGTGGGCAGCACGCAAAATACATCATCCCTCAGTAGATAATTATGCAGGGCATCAAACTGCTCTGGTTTCAATTCCGATATACTCCATGCTTTCTTTGTGTACGGTTATGCACTCGGAACTACTCGGATGTCTCCGCACTCGACAATAACTATGTTGTTAGTATGGAGCTTGCGGAATCAGCCGAGGATTGCCGATTGACGGTCAACCAATCAGCGTTTTCACCAAACTTTGGTGAAAAATTTTGAAACATGGATTCGATTGGCTTATATAAACTAGGTCAAACTATTTTCGTCAGAGGTAACTTGACACGATGAAGATAGGCTATAGTGAAGAGGTTAGTGTCAAGTTATCTCTGAAGCTCAGGGTG